GTTCTGTTTGTAATGGAAATGAGACCACATGTTGTTTTGTATGTAACAATAAGCGAGCAGGATTTATAAAAATCATTATCAACTCATTGAAACACGTGATTGTCGAAGTTATGTATTGTACCAGTCCAAATTCACCGCTAGCAAATATTGTTCACTTTGACCGGATGCGTATTGTTGCTAGCCTCACGGTTTTAGAATGCCTGCACTAGGTAGCAGTTTTGCACTTTTAGAAGGAATGTTTAGTTATTCTCTCTGGGATCTCACCCCGTTGGGGCAGGCGAATCTCACCCCTTTGGGGTAGGAAATGTTTATTCTCTCTGGGATCTCACCACGTTGGGGTAGGCGGATCTCACCCCTTTGGGGCAGGTCTATGCCCTAAGAACAAACGAGAACAAATGTTCTCCAATCTCTCTGAAGTTTGAGTTCGGTCTACCAAATTTTCCATCAATTTAGGGGTGGAAAAAATGTTCTCTCTTTCTCCATCTGAACCGGGAATTCCTTACATCCCAAGAGGGATATTGGGAAAAATGTGAATAGACCCTTCTTTCCCTTGTTTTCTTAAAACTAGTTGTGTAAATAGGCTTTAAGATTTTAGATAATTATGGTGGCTTTGTTCATAATGTTTTACAGGTTTCATTTCAACGTACTGTTCTAGGCTTCAATCATAGGACCAAAGCTACCATAATTGCAAGCATTCGAGGGTAATCCAGCGTCATCTTGCAGTACTCAGGCATCCGTTGGTTGCGCATTTATTAGAAGATTAATCTGATTCTAAACAATCTTTTTGTTCAATTCGACTTGACCACAATCTCTTCCTTGGATTATTCGCCTCCAACTCATCATCTTCCTTGGATTATTCAGGAACTGATGAACTGCGACATGAAATCATTTCCTTCGCGAAAGATTACAAGCGATTTAATGCCACAAATTCGGTTGTCATTGAAGGGTTGAGAGTTGCAAAATGGACGCATGAAGAGAAAGAGATGGAGAGACAGATAAATCGCGAAGAGAGCGCAATGGAGAGGAAGAGAGACCTTACCTGTTCTGCTGCGGTGCCCTGATGAAGGTGATCGATTTCAGAGCTTCCTTTCTTAGTTTTGTTATATTAATCGAGAGAGGTAGGAGAACGAAATTGTTTTAACATGTAACATTGAAAATCATATCATAAACATAAGCGCAATCGCTAATGGCGGGCGCGCGCTTAACCGCGCGACTGTTTGAGCGCGCCTCGCCAGCTCAAATACTCGATATAATTCCAACGTTGATCGTAGTATTGACAATTTTGCAACACAATAGAACAATGAAATACAAGTGTGTAGCACCAATTCGTACCTGAACAAAAAACAAGCCCCCGTTCGTAAGCTAATCGATTGAGGAGCCTCTTCGTCCTCTGAGCGGAATTTCTCTGTGCAGATTCATCGTCATCGCCGGAATTACTATCCACCAATCTAGTAACCGCAAGCATCTTACTTCTGCAATACGAAATATTTTGCCCCTGGAAATGAAATACCCAAATTTGGTTGCGCAGCAGAGAAAACTGTAGAAAGGAAGAACAAAACGACGGAAGTTTTTGATGGTTGACCTAATGAAGACGCCACTCATAGATGGATGCGGCCGAGTGTGAGAAGAATTGAAGGTCTGGTTGCCGCTTCCATGGATGCAGGTGTAGCTCATACAGTAGCTCTCGTCCTACTTCGCCAACGACACTTCGGCCTGATAGCAGCAATTGGCGTTTAACAGGTACATGAATATTTTACATCGACCATTCTTCACATAATTTCATGTTCATAAGATTTTGAATATTGATGATATCCACTTTCAGTAACTTGCAGTGTGATTCCTCAAATTAAGACTCAGTTAGTTTAATTCTTTCATATCCAAACAAAGTTTATGTTTCAGGCAGTGCAGCGTCAGGGGTGATTTTCAGGTACATAATGCTTGGTTATTTTCTGCTGCACTTTTGTTTGACGCTAAAATTGTGTGTATTCTGGTAAAATCATAGCTGATGCCGATGGAGAAGAACATGATAAATTGTTGTCACAGTTGGTTTACTTGAGAATTAACAGACTGGAATTTTGAATGGTTTTCTTTTCATTGGTGAAAGAAAAAAAATTGTATACAAGTATATGAAATGAACCACAAATAACAAGAATCAAGTGGCTTCCTTTCTGATGGTGAAAGGGGACAATAAGATTCCTCTGGAAACTTTTGTTCAGGCATTGATTCGAATTCCGTCTGTGACTGTTGCTATCAGTCTACCTCATCAACTTCATCAAATGGAAGTGGTACTGGATTAACTGCTCTAAATTTTCCAGCATTATTGAGATGCTCATTCTCCAACCTGGGCCATTACCACAGATGCTTATTAGAGTGAGCAAAAAGAGGAAGACTTGAACAGTTGACGATCTTAAGCATACCGATAAACCAAGAAGTTTATAGCTTTTACCTGAAAAAGTTCCACAGCCCTCTTCTAATGACTTCAAGAGCTGCTAAGAATAATCCAGTAACTCTCGAGTCGACTTGTCCAAAAGTTGAATGGAGAACGGTTTGCAACCATGCAAGCCTGAGAATAAAATTCAAGCCCTGCAAACATTCCAAAGATTTTGATAAGAATCCACTTCATTGTAGGACGACCTAAAACAAGTGAAAATTAATTCACTTCTAGAATGTGTACTTCACAAGACACCTAAAATCTTCCTATATTCTACAAAGCATTGGGTTCTGTTTCTTTCATATCAGAAGTAGATTGAGAATATTGCTATGAACTATGAGCCAATGAAGAGGAATTTTCAAGAATCTTTTCACTTTCTTCCCTATCTTCCATAGTAGCCATGTGGATTATGTTCAGAAATTCAGAATCATTTTGAGTGCTAAATCTCTTTCGATTGGTGATTGATGCCACATTAGTGCTAGTATCTATATACTACTTTCTTCTGCTAAAGTTTTTTGAAAGCGAAACATGGAGTGTTATCTGACTGTACCATGGAGACGTAGTAAATGGTCTTTCTTCGAAGCATTAAATCATTCCTAAGCCATGGATTTTTGGAATTCACTTGAAGCAAACCCCAATCCTTTACAAAGTCCCAATACAATTGGTACACAGTTGCTCCACTTGACATAATCACCACTAGACATAACCATCCAACTCCTTTGGTGTTGTCTTTTTCATATGCCACTTTGGACCCTGCAGCCAACATTGCTGAGACATACTTTCCTAGATTGACGAGGTGGCTTGTCTGCCCTTCATCAAACCAGCGCCTTGCACACTGAAAACGCGAAATGCAAAGCCTTGTTATGCTTTGTTAAGAAAAATTTAGTGTAAAAAATGTCAATGATGAATAATATAAAATTTTCACACTACAACTGGTGACTGAATCCTATACCTGCATTGCCCTCCAGTAGTAAGGTAGAAACGAAACTGCATAAGCGAGGTCTCGGTAATGCTTGGCGTTCATACAGTAGTTGTAATTCTGTGTTTTGTAGCTTCCTGTTATGTAGTAGCAGGCCATGTACTCGAGGTTTCGTAGCATTGGGATCTATACCGGGAAACAAAGAATTAGGAAAGTCATTTTCTAACAGATCTGTCATGCCTAGTAGTTCAGTAATTTGTAGCTAACTGTACTTATTTATATACCTGACTACATAGTTGGTCTGCCATGAAGAAGTCCAACATCAGTACCTGCAGAAAATAGTTGAGAAAGTGATAAGAACATTATAAAACTAAACTCGACTTTGAAAAAGAGTTTAATGATGCATGGTGCAGGTAAAATGATGGGGGAGGATAATTGGAGTAGGGATTTACCTTGTAGAGAGGTGAAAAGGCTATATTTCTCATCACACGAAGGAAACGGTAGCGGCTTGATCGATAGTAAATGTTGAAGGGGCACACAAGTAATAGCAAGAAAAGCTGTAACACGAGGAAAAGATTTCGAAAATCACTTACCGAAACTTGACTGAATAATTACAGGCCTCAAAGATAGAGACAAAAGTACACTTTCATGTTGATAAATTACCAGCAAGAGAAGGCCAGGTATCACTTGAACTTGAGTATAAGAGTACCCTTTTGAAAGCAGTGCCAAATGAACAAACATTACCCCCATAACAGCAGTCATTGAAGTGGTACAAATCAAGAACACATCTCTGTATTTAAGTTCCTTTGTGGCTGATAACTCTAAAATGAAGCTGTAATTTATTCGAGTCTTCCTCCAGGCAAAGATGTTGCAGCCATACAGAAAGAAATGTAAGAACATCAAGCTGAACATGCTGCAAACATGATTCATCTTGTTAGTTACCATTCATCGACAGCGAAAACGATTAAGAAAAGATGTACAAATACTTGCCTGAGTACTGGATATACAGTCTCCATGTACAGTGAGAAAGGGTGCCTTTTGTACGTCCCCATGATATGAGCCATGATAACATAACCCACGAGTAGTGCAATGAAACACCCACTGAACAGTCCTGTTCATGGAAAAGATTATCTTTACTAACTTATGCATAAATGGAAAGTTATTAACGTTCGAACAGTTAGTGTTTTTTTTGGTTAACAACTCTGGAGTGGAGTTCAAATTTCAGCCTCATTTGGTGAACCAGGGGACAATTTCCTTTTTTGTCCAGTGTCCACCAAAAATAGTGGATTGAGCAATGCCCTTTAGTTCAAAGTTAAGTGGGGTGATGTGGCAGTGGCAGTGCTTTTGGATTTGTTTGTTCATCGATGTCTTCATGAATTATTGGTTAATAGACGCTAAAGATTGCAAGGATTTGCTTGGCAAGATCTCCTGAAAATAATGTGTTTAAAGAACTCACCGACTATGAACGTAATGCCGTGTGACTCTTTACGCTGTTTTGGTCTAAGGTACTTCATGGCCTTCCTTTTGTCTTCCTCAGCAAAGTTTTTGATAAATAACTCCTCTACCTCATCTGCTAGCTTTATTACCTGTCATTTCAGAGACTTTGGTTCAATTTTTTTACCTGGTTCTAAAGTTTCTGTATGATATAAGTAACCGACAGACAACCATATTTGGCTCAAAAATTTCAGAATTTGAAGCTACAGTGCAGACAAGACCAACTATGAGACCAATGGCCACTTCACATTGTCTGAGAACTTTCTCATGGGAAGTTTTCAGCCGTTAATGACTTAAATCTCGACATGATCTAATCATAAAATCATGAAAAAGATGCTCTCTTTGTATCAAATTTTGAACTTTTTAAAGTTTTTGATTTTCTAATAATTGTACTGAATTTACCTTGTCTGAACTGTTGAAATAGGAACTTTCCACAACTTTCAGATAAATGGCAAGAACTTGTTTTCCAGTGACCTGCAAAAAAGCAGGATCTTCATGATTACAAACAGGATTTTCAGAGGCAATGATGGAGTGAATTATCAGTGCAACATTGTTACTTACTTTGTCAAACTTCTTCAAAATCTTTATGAAGGCAAGCTTGTTCAACTGCCTGAAGAATGATCTCAATGATCAAAGAGACATTAAAAATAACGAAACTTCAACAATCTGTTCTTCATTATTACCTGTAAGTTTTGAGAAAGCCCAACCCTTTGTAAAGCTCAACAAAAGCTCCTTTAATCATCTTCTCTGCATGGTGCACCCTGGTCTTGTTAATGTGAAGTTTTGTGCCTTCATTGGATTTCTTTGAGTTCGTTAAATCTTCCTTGAATAAATGGCTTATGGCTGAGAAGGTCCGAGATGGGGTTGTCAGAGGAATGTTCATCTTTATGTTCTTCCCTTGAAAACTTATAACTCGACCTGAGACGGTTCTCCAGTTTGGGTCCATGCTTTTAGTTTTCGTTGAGTTTCCCATTTCTTCTGATCTTGGAGAGTCCGAAAATGCCAATTCAGTCTTCTCCAATTCTTCATTGATATTCTCTTGGGACTGTTCTTGCTCTGTTTTGTCCTTATCAGACTCTGCATATCAAAAGTAAACGTAAGAACCATAACAATGAAACATAATATGCAGATTCCTTAGAGATAAAAGCCATAAAAACTTCCTTCTTCTACAAGTTGACTTAGAGTTTGTGACATCTTCAGATGAAAAGTACAAGCATTGGATATTTTCTAATTAGAGCTACATTATTTTCTCAGGAACTTGGCAGCCGAAACTTTTGGTTGCATTTGAAACAAGTTGATGAATTACCACAAGAAATTGTAGAGGAGATGGAGCCATCCTCCTTGGAATCCGGCATGATATCTCTGGTCTGGTGCCGGTGCTGGATCGCCGTCTTCAGGTCAATGAGAATCTCCAGTTGTTTCTTCAAGCTTTCTCCCAACTCCATGAACTCTGTCTCCTTTGTCTTGAAGAATTGATTCACCTTATTCAGCTGGAAATCCAAACATGAAAAGAATTCCTTTGCTGCAGCTGTATCAGCAAATTGTTCCAGCAGCTCTGTTTCGTACATGTCTCCGTTGCTAACAGAGGAAGCAAGTTTCTTATGAACCTGTTGGAAAAAGATTTCAAGTTCATGTTATATTTTACTACACACACAAATACACAATCATGCAAAATGGGGGAAAAAACTGTGGGAAGTTGTCAGAAAAAGAGTACATGAATAGGTCCATGATCTCTGCGTTGGTGACCAAATATAGAGAAATTCTTTATAGAAGACAAGACAGTACTCGCAACCGTGCCGGTGGCGGCGGAAGAGTCGGTCTTGTTATCAGTTTTAAGAAGATAGAGTTTCTTGAGGTCATTCTTTAGTTGGCCATAATCAACATAAGCATGTTTCCATTCAGGGATCAATTGTCCCTCAAACTGCTTAGAGAATTTGACCATATTGTTGTTGTTGTTACTCTCTGTAGGTAGCAGAGCAGAGTCGGAGAGAGGGAAGAGAAGGGATGATGTTGAAGAAGAAGAAGAAAAAGAAGGAAAGGTTGTTGTGAGTGTTGAATGATAGAGCATGCTGACATTATTTATGGATGAAAAGGGGGAGTTGGATTGATGTGCTTCGTACTGATTCTCGACAGCACATTCTAAAATATCCTATGCTTTCTCCACTTGAGAGAGCACAGTGGTCAGGTTCGCCGGAGATTTAACGACTGCCACCGGAAATGGCTGACTTGCCGACCAATATGCTTTCATCAAGTTTTTGAAAGGGTCGAGGAATATAAAGTTCAAAACTCGTGGGACCAAAAGGAACCATGCAAGGAGGGAAGCGGCCTAATTCCTTCTTTTTTTTTTTTTTTCTTTTTTTCCCTTACCAAAAAAAAAATACAAACTTTCTCAGCTTCTCCATCTTTCCAACTTTTTGTGAACCTAAACCAAGTTTTGCACGGTTAAGACATCAATAACTTTTCTCTAGTCGTAGTTCATCGCTAATTATCAAATTTTTAATGTTGTATTCTCTCAATGATTAGAAGTGGGAATTTTTTTTTTTTGTTTAGAATGGAACTTAGAACAACGTTGCTCTTGGTAACGTGGACTAAAGATATAGAGAGACCCGTTATTCAAATTCGAGCACTCGAACTATAACGGTCTAAGCCCATGGCTAGCAGATATTATTCTCTTTGGGTTTTCCCTTTCAGGTTTCTCGTGTTTGCTAGGAGAGGATTCCACGTCCTAAAAAATGTTGTTCTCTTTGGGTTTTCCCTTTCGGGTTTTTCTTCAAGGTTTTAAAACGTGTTTGCTAGGGAGAGGATTCCACGTCCTAAAAAATGTTTTGTTCTCTTCTCCAACCGATGTGGGATCTCACAATCCACTCCCTTTTGGGGCCCGCGTCCTTTCTGGCAAACAGCCTAGTGTCCTCACCCCCTTTCAAGGCTCAACGTTCTCATTGACATACCGTCTTGTGTTTAGCTCTGATACCATTTGTAATAGCCCAAGTCTACTTCGAGTAGATATTAGATATTATTCTCTTTGAGCTTTCTCATTCAGGTTTTCCCTCAAAGTTTTAAAACACGTTTACTAGATATTGTCTTCTTCCTCAATCGATATGAGATCTCACACGAACTTTTATAAATGGAAATGACAATGACAATGTTTGGTAGATTGAGTGAGTACCAAACACTTTGTCTCAAAGAAGGATGCGTGAAGTGTGTGGCATTTGAGAGACTTTGAGACGTTTGAATGTCTTGATGGTTGAACAAATGGCATAGGGTGACAAGGGGGAATGGTGGATAATTGGCCACAAGCACCAAGGCTAATGCTCATTAGACCAGCATGGCTCCCACTTAGATCTTGGGATAACTAATACATTATTTTATAGTGTTTTAATTATTAATTTTGGCCCATAACAACATTCATTTGTGTGTCAAATGGAAGGTTTTGAACTGCCATTAATGGAGGTTTCGAGAGCTTTTATTTCATGAAATGGGAATAAAAAAATACCCTTTTTAAAAGACAATTTTAAGATGAGAAAATATATATATATATATATATATATATATATATATATGTATATATATATGTATATAGATATGGATGAACCATATATCTTTTCAAAACACAAATTTTCTTACCATAGCTTAATAAAAATATATATTTAAAAGATTATTCCTAACTTGTTAATCCAAAACAACTCCTAAATTCATTATAATCTTCTACTTTTAAGTGTTAAAGATGAGAACATGTCAAGTAACCAATGAAAATTTATGAAGCAATACTTGTAGTAATCGTTTGGTTATACATGCATGTTAGTAAAATCAACCTTAGGTGGTTAGTTTACGGTAATTTTCCATTATCTTCTCACACACTCATCTTACATTTCATAGTCTGTCAGTCACATCTGATCTTTCATTCGATGTCCCGAATTTCATAGTGTGATAATAGCATACAGTGATCAAAGAAATAATCATTCTTTTAATTTTTAAAGGAGATCGAGAGGAAATTACATGAACAAACTAGTTTTAGTTGGGTTTGAAGAGGCAAGTATTCCATGCTGTACTAAGAAAACCAACATAAACCTAGGAATAAGAATCTTGTTCTTAGATGTTTGGTCGAGAAAGATTGTGTGTGTCTCAGAATCTTCACAAAAGTTTGTAACAAAATCAACAAGTTAGCCCAAAAGTCAAGTTTTCTTTAGTTTGTTCATGATTCTAATTACCCTAAAATTCATGCATCTTTGATTGTTTTTGTGATTTAGAATAAATAACTACGACTATATACGTTTGATTATACATTCACTTTCTTATTTTCTAGAAACTTTTTGAATAATTATTGCATCACTAAGAAAAGATTTTGACCTTTTGATTTGGAGAGAATGGTGGGCGGGAGAATACGTTGACCGCCATCGAAGAAGCATCAAAGTTCGTAGAGGGAAGACGAAAATCTACCTAAGACCATGTGTAGAGAAGTACTATAGATTCAACCTTACTCGTATTGGAAAACTGTCTAAAGTCATGTCATGATGTTTTTAACTAATAGATCCCACCATGTTACATGTGTGTGCATTTCCCGACCCCAACAGTGAGATTACTTACTGGGTATTTCTCAAAATACTCAAACTACCTCCTACTCTTATTTTTCAAGTAAAGGTAAGACACCCTTATATAGATGACGGGTTTGCGATGAATGCCTTGGAACCTGCAGTAGGGTAGTTGCATTATTTTGTAGCACTTAGGTTACATCATAGCATTATTCTTGTCTTTGTTTTATTTAAATTTCACGATTTTATTTGTTTAACTATGACATCGTTTTTTTAAATATTTTAAATGAATGTTACCGCACATAACAGAACATGTCATGCATGCAATGGCGACCTTATTTGAAGAATTTGAAATTCCAAATAATGTTAAAAGAATAAATATATATATATAGAGTATTGAAGAACAAAATAATTGATTTAATGAACCTAAGTGAGCCCTAAATCATTTGTTCCATTCTATTATTTGTTCTATTCTTTCCTTAATTCAACTCTTTTCTATTCCTCTCACCACTTGCCAACTCTCTCTCTCTCTCTTCTACCTCTTTATTTAATTACTTATTTCAACCCAAAAAAAACGAGCACACGGGTTAGAGATATGAACGTAGTTTCACATTGATCGTAAGTAAAACTCGAGCTTTTTCAATAAATAAAATCGAGAGTAAATTTAACCTAGACTAATCACTTGACTATGTCAGCTCGTATTAAGACTCGACCGACCATCTATTTAAAATGAAAGATGGTGTTTGGTAACGTGAGCAGAATAATCATTAATCGAGAATATGGATTACAATATCCTGTTTTGATTTAATCTTTGACCCGCCCTCAATTTGGAAGATTCCGTTCATGGATTAAGGATAAACTAATTCTTCTATGGCATATTCTCACAAATATTTTATTTAATTAAAACGAGTTTTAATTATAATAATAATATTAATAATAATGTAAGGGAATTGGATTCCTATGTTGAATTGGGATTTGGGTGTCTAGAAATAATATATTTCAAGAATATATTGGAGGACATTGATTGGAATTAAAATTGGAATTAAAATGGTTTCATTATTGTCACAAATTAGAATATCCTAGAGATAGCAATCATGGAATCCTCCCATGCCGCCCTCATTTGAATCTATAACCATCTAATCTTTTATTGAGTATTAATTCTACTACATGTTTCACCAACAATTCACCCGTCGATAACGATAGCGATCGAGTTCGCTATCCAGTTAGAGATAGGGACATCCATGGGTTGAAGGTTGGAATGACTTTTCTATTCCACTTTCCAATTTCATCCTCCCGACCGTTTGAAATTCACTGTTTTATTATATAAGGTCGGGACAAGGATTTCTTGTGAAAACTTCGTGAGTTAGGTCTCCACATAGGTTTGAAAGAAAGAAAATTTTCAAGTTGCATGTTCTTTTATCTCATATGAGAATCTAGGGTGTGCAGATATAGTAGTGATACAATCTTTTGAGTCTATAGTTGTTGATATGATTACTGCATTAAAAATGGTCATTAGAATTTCGAAACTAAAACGAATGAATCTAGTGCACTCAATAAAAATATATTCTTACGATAGCGAAGACGTGGTTGAGACTCTAAGAGAAAGTTGATGCGAAGGTTCAGATCGAAGATCTTCGCTAAACAGCCCATAAATCTCGAGAATCGAGAGTGATGTTTGAAGACCCTACCGCATTCCAACCTCAGGGCTTGAAATTACTATGAGGCTCAGTACTTCAACTAGTTCTTGTGTTTCCTCGAATGGATCTCTTAGTTATAGAGAGGGTTACCCAAAAGCAATATATAAGGCATACCCAATAAAACTTACGAGTAAACCAGATATCACAAACAAGAAGGCGGGTCAAACTTATTGTACCATAATTTCATGTCTGGCTCATTCCAGGAGTGAAACCCTAAAAAATTTAACGTTCTACAGAAGGTATTGAATTGTGAGTAGTAGTCAGTTAAAAACATCGGCACGTTTAATGGAAGCTTAGATGAATGTACGAGAGATGAAGTTAGGCCGATGACAAGAAAAAAAAAAAAAAAAGTGTAAATTTGAAGGCTCATTTATGCTGTGTGGGAATTTCAAAAGTTTGATGTAAAAAGAAAGAAGAAAATAAGTGGAGGAGAGGAAATGGGTATGTGATGTTAATAATAATAATATGCTTTTGATACCAACACATTACTCAGAGTTGTAAGCATATGCTTCTCTCACTCTACTGCTTCTTCTTCCCAAACTATATGCTTCACCTTTGCATCTTTCATCATATCAATTCATTTTTAGCAACAAAAACAAACGATCTTCGTTGCGAGTACTCGAGCGAATTCTTGCCACGAGCATGTGATAGATTTATCATCCAATCTGTGTTCTACGGGAGAATATTAAACTCATCCTTATCATAAGCCTGATGAAAAATAACTCAATAAAGTCATAGATAATGTTCCAAGAACGAAGTAGCTAAAGATTATTCCAAATCGAGATAAATAAGAAAAGGATAATTTGAGTTGAAGCCTAAATGCAACTCCTCGACATAGGCATCATCCTAGGCTCGTGTCATCCTAGTTTAATTTGGCAGACACGAGTAAAGTTTGGAATCTCTATCTTTCTACACCGTTGATGGGAGAACAAGATAATATCAAAAGCTATTCACTCCAATTCTACCTATGTAACCACATGGTCTAATACCAATTGTCCCCATGTTTGTCACTTTTTTTTCTTTTGTAATATTCCTTGCAAATGCATTTACATATTTATATATATACATGCACCCACGTTATCGATACGACCTAATTTTGTTCCTGACAGTCCATTAAACGCCTCTTTCTTTCTGAGTAGGATTGGACGTATGCTACTCTATACACGGTCTATATACATGCACATGAACTCACAATGCAAGCTCGTTAACATATTAGTGTCAATAATATCGTAATTTACGTGTCTATATACATATTATACTAGAGAAGTAACCTAAACCCTAAACCCTAAACCCTAAACATACATGAAATCCCACCTTCCGTTTATTTCATTCTTCTATTTTAAAATTAATTTTTTTAGTTTTTTAATTTATGTATATCAAACCCATTATTAAAATGTTAATATATAAGTTTAGAATTTTATTAAATATGAAATTAAATATTTATGGACATTTTTTAAAAAATTTAATTACAGCTAATTTTAATGAATAAAAAATCAATTATTAATATAGAAATGCCTAATTAATCCAATTACTTGATCAGTGTATATGAACTAGAATTATTATAATTATAATTTTAGATTATTACATTTTTTTTTAATTTTAAAATAATTCAATATTTTGTGCATTTTCTTATTTATTTTGGGATTTTTTAATATGGTATAATTTACTTCATAATGTCCATAAAATCCACGTGGAAAAATCTATATTTTTACAATTATAAAAGGAAAAGAGAACAAAAAGGAGAGTCAAAAAGAGAAGAAATTTTAAAATAAAATCAAGCCAATTGAAGAAAAGTGGTAACTTTTTTTAAAAAAAAAATAAAAAACAATAATTGAGGCTATTTTGGATTTATTAACCAAAATTATTTTTTCCTTCATCTCCCAATCACTACTTTTCCTTTATTTTCTTTATTTTTTGGAAATAAATAAATAAAAAGAAAAGGGAAAAAAAGTGAGATAAAAAGAAAAAGAAAACTAAGAGGAGTTGTATTCCATATGATTTTTGTTTTCATGCATCGTAACGTGTTTGACAACTACTTCGTCTCGATTAGGTCAGCCGATCAAATGGTGGTAAAAGAGACTGACTAAGTTAACACTAGTTTTAACTCGTCTCATTTTTTACTCTTTAAATACTCGGTTAATCATATCTCGTACAATTATTGTTTAAACATATAGAAAAAAAAAACATAATTAGCGTTCTCGAGTTAGTGTCGTACAATATGTTTTTAGCTAAAGGATAGAAAAAAAAAATCGGTCTCTTCGTGCTCTTTTCACTTTTACGAGAAAATGTATATATATTTTATCGGTTTCAACTACAGCATGAATGTTCACGTTCATTTTAAAAATATTTAATTTTTATCGGGTAAATATAAAAGGATAATTTTTTTAATATATATAAATAATTTTTGTTTTTCATTTTGACAAAGTAATGTATATATATATATATATATAATGGGCCGGAAATTAGCCCAAATACTTAATTGCAGCATTTGGGCCAATTAAAGCCCAAAAGTTTTAGTCAACGCCAAAGACCACAAAATGTGTGTTTGACTAATAGCACCCTCCTCCCAACATGACTCTTGCACCAGTATAGCCACAACTTTGGTCAAACAATTTGCATTAGCCAAAAGCTGGCCATGTCGATGGAAATCGGTATGTCTAGAAATAACGTCAACATAGCCAAAAAATTCTTGTAATCGAAGCTCATCGTTAGCAGATATTGTCTACTTTGATTCGTTACGTATCGTCATTAGTCTCACGATTTTAAAGCACGTCTATTAAGGAAAAGTTTTCCACACCTTTCTAAGAGATGCTTCATTCACTCTCCAACCGATGTAAGATCTTACAATCACTCCATTGAGAGTCAAGCGTCTTCGTTGACACACCATTCGAAACCTGGCTCTGATACCATTTGTAACAGTTCAAGCCTACTACTAACAAATATAGTCAGTTTTAGCTCGTTACGTAATTACCATCAAATCACGGTTTTAAAGCACGTCTATTAAGAAGAGGTTTTCTCACCTTTATAAGGAATATTTCGTTCTTGTCTCCAACCGATGTGAGATCTTGTTTAATAAGTATTTAAATCTCGTTTGATAATCATTTTATGTTGTCGAGAAATGTCGTATTACGTAAATATAACTAAAATCTCTTACGATTATAATATATATACGAGATGAAAGGGGCATGATGTGATTTATTTGGATATGGTGCAAATACAACCAGACACTAGCCAACCACCAAATAAAACTATAAAATGTATCTTATTTAAAATAATTTATTCCACTAAAATATATGATTAATTATTATACTAATTATTTAGGATTAAAATTTTATATAATTTATTTAAAAATAATTATTAAGATTATTGCTAAATAAATTCTAAAATCTACCGTCCATAATATAGTAATAAAATTAAAATGTTTAAAATTATTTTCTAGTAATAATAATTAATTATTTAAAATTAAGTATTGATTAATGTTTTATTTATCTGAAATTTTAGAATGAAAGTCAAATATGACGAGAATGAATTGAATGCGAGTAATTTAGTGGACTACGCCAACTGAAAGGATAAGAGAAGGATCAACAATGGCGGCCGCCACACTGCAAGTGGAAATTCTCCATTCAATCTCTCCTTAAACACCTCTTAGGTCCAGAGGTCGATTTAGACTTCGATTCATTATCTATTTGTCATAGATGTTACGACTATTTGATTTGTTGATAGTAAATATAATTTCACACTCGACAATCGAAAGTAAATCTAGAGTACGAGAAAAATAAAATCTCGTTAATATAACCCTGTTTCTTTCGGTAGAAGCTGGTATAAACGTTGTTTCGTAACAATATAAAGAGTAAAACTTTATAATTTAATAAATAGGGCTTTTAAAACGTAATTAGCCCAAATTATTACGACATTGTGAAATACTTTTCGATTTTTTTAAAAAAATATTTTTAAAAAATTTAAAATTTTAAAAAATACCCACTAAATTTTAAAACTAGCATTAATACTCTTTATTTTTACACCAAAAAGTTATAAAATTATTACTCTAGCACCTTATGGATTATCTCGAAACTTTTGAACTATAATGAAACTGCCCCACAATCTTATTCTTATTCTTTTTTATAAATAAAAAATAATAAATAAATAAACCAAATAACTTATTTAGAAAAAAAAATAGAATAAAATAAAAACTCCCGAAAATGGACGTAAGTAGACATAAAAATTTTAATCAATTGTACAGAAAAACCCTGAATTTTCGCTCCACCTTCGTCAGCCACGGCGGCGCTGCGGCCTATATATACCTCCTCATCCATAACCTTACCTTCAAACACAAAACCCATCTTCAAATATGATGTCTGAGGTCCAACAGATTAACGGCACAAAAACGAAGACATTGGTGGTGGCGCCTCCGCCGTCGCCGCAAGTAGCAGTGGCGATTTGCTTGTTGAGAGGTAAATCGGTGCTAATGGGGCGTCGACTTGTATCGATTGGCAACTCCAAATATTCTCTCCCAAGTGGGCATCTTGAATTTGGTTCGTTTTTCTATCTCATTGTGTCTAAATACAGGATGTTTCTCTATATATATTGTCCATTTTGAATATAATCTCTTGGTTTTGGTTTTCAGGCGAGACTTTTGAAGAATGTGCTGCAAGAGAGATGAAGGAAGAGACAGGTTTGGATATTGAGAAGGTTGAGTTTTTGAAAGTGACCAATAATTTGTTTCTGGACCAACCAACGCCGGCTCATTATGTGGTGGTGTTCGTGCGGGCGGTACTGGCTGTTCCCATGCAAACTCCGCTCAATCTTGAGCCTGACAAATGTGGTGGCTGGGATTGGTATGAATGGGATAGTCTGCCCCAACCACTCTTTGGTCCCATCAAAGCAATGGTTATGGAGGGCTTCAATCCTTTTCCATACTAACCAGCTAGCCGCGGCCGAGCTGGGTTGGATCCGGATGTATTAGTCGTCAACACCGAAATGAAAAGGGAGAATAGCTTTTCGTTCTTATTTGTATTCTAATTATAAGATTGGTTTATAATGTTAATTAGTGTGTTGTTCGAAAAACTTTAACTCATTTGAATCAATTTCTAAACTCAATTATGGCTGCGATAACTTTTAAACCACCATATCAACTTGGAGTACAATATCCACATACCATCAAACACAAAACCCAGTGAATTTTATTATGATTATACGACCCTAAAAGAATTCATCCAAACTTAATTAGAAAGGACTTGGAGAGTATCAATCAGTTTAAGGCCATAAACCCACTAAGTTGATAGTTCAAAACTAAAACAAAAAACTCGAGGCTTGCATGGCCGAATTAAGAGTAGCTCCGATCTTGTCTCTCATACTTTTTGTGAGATAGGAGAACGAAAAATTCTTTATAAGAGTGTGAAAACCTCTCCTTAAAAGAGCGTTTTAAAACCGTGAAGTGCAATATATTTGCTAGTAGTGGGTTTGGGTTGTTACAAATTGTATCAAAGTTAGACACTGAGCGGTGTGTCAGTAAAGACGTTGGGCCTTCAAGGGGGGTGGATTGTGAGATCCCACATCGGTTGGAGAGGAGAACGAAGCATTTCTTAGAAGAGTGGAAATCTCTCTCGAACACACTGAAGATGGCTTTGTGGGAGAGAAGTTTGTTGTTGTGGGCTGGGCCCATGAATCATTCCTTGTTGGGCCGTTTCTTTTTGTATCAGAGTTACCCAAATGGTATTGAGCCCATTAATATAATTTAGGAAATTGGAAGAAATTATTTAAAAAATAATTGCAATGAGTCGGTATTATTTATTTAAAATGCATTGAATAATTAAAGATATTGAAATATTTGTATAATAATAATAGTTTTTTAATTGAACAACCCATGTGTTTGTAAAGCATGTGGGAAACCTAGGGATCAACAAATTAAATCCAATAAATTCCACATTTTCTTTTCCAAATAATAATATTAATATTATTTAGTAAATAAAGAGAAATAGGTTGGTAGGGTATGCCATTTTCCAGCTTTTTAAAGCTTTTTTAATGTGTTTATTGGCTCAAGGCTTCCATTTTCGTTGTTTTCTTCCTTTTTTTCTTTTTTTTTTTTTTCTTTTTTTTTTTTTCTTTTTTTTTTTTTCTTTTTTTTTTTTTCTTTTTTTTTTTTTCTTTTTTTTTTTTTCTTTTTTTTTTTTTCTTTTTTTTTTTTTCTTTTTTTTTTTTTCTTTTTTTTTTTTTCTTTTTTTTTTTTTCTTTTTTTTTTTTTCTTTTTTTTTTTTTCTTTTTTTTTTTTTCTTTTTTTTTTTTTCTTTTTTTTTTTTTCTTTTTTTTTTTTTCTTTTTTTTTTTTTCTTTTTTTTTTTTTCTTTTTTTTTTTTTCTTTTTTTTTTTTTCTTTTTTTTTTTTTCTTTTTTTTTTTTTTTTTTTTTTCTTTTTTTTTTCTTTGACATTTTGACATTAACGACAGTGATTCTGAGCTGTTTGTCTCATGCAGTCTCAACATCTTTTTTTATTGTCTTTTTATTTTTTATTTTTTTCATTGTCAAATTCAACCGAACAAATACAACTTGGTATACAAATTGTTATACGTAGTAACTTTCATTTCTTTTTTTTAAGTCATTCTTAACCATTTTATTCTCATCATCGCTCTCATTCAGATGTAATGTTGTTCAAATTTACCACTGGCAGATAATACGTAACGATATTACTCACTTTAGCCCGTTACGTATTATCATTAACCTTACAGTTTTAAAGATTTCTACTCCATAAGGAATATTTTGTTCACATCTTCAACGATGTAAGATCTCACAATCCATTCCCTTGAAAACTAGCGTTATCGCTAGCACACCGCTCGATTTCTAATTCTAATATCAAACATGAGAAAAAAAAAACATAATAAATTAGATAAGAAGACAGGGGAGGGGAGGGGAGGGCAGAGCAGGGGGGAGACAGAACACTAAGCAATGTCTTGACAGCGCCAGGATCCCTTTAACTCGGTGCGGGTCTTAACATGTCTAAACGTGGCATTGCCTTCCTATTAAATGTTGGGACTTGTGGCACTCAAAATTTCAAAGCATCAAACCAAGACAGGCAAGGACTCCTGCAGCGCAGCCATTGTGGGCCGCCGCGGCGCCCTCCTTCCTGCCCTTACCTTACACATCCTCTGTTCTATTTTTCGAACCCATTCCTACAAATCTCTGACATTTCATCCAAACTGGACCACCCCCACTTTTCTTTATATCTCACCATCATAATTCCAAGCTCCACCTCTCTCAAACCTCCACAATCATGTCCAACTCCCTCCATGATTCCTCCTCCTCCTCCTTCTCCCGCCGGTATTTCACCTGGAAAAACAAGCCCCAAGAAGAACAACACCAAGAACCCTTGTCCTTCACTTTGTCCTCCCGTTTCAGCGAAGAAGACAAGCAAGACAACCTCAAGAAACCAGAGAAGAAGAAACCATCTGCTTCTAAGCTCCGGACGGCTTTAACAGCCATCGGACGGATCCGGCCGACAACCAACCGCTCCCGGCTTGGCGGCCGGGTTGTCGGTACGCTATTTGGGTACCGGCGAGGACATGTCTATTTCGCGTTACAAGAAGACCCAAAACAGAATCCGACGTTTTTAATTGAGCTATCGACGCCGACGAGTGTTCTGGTGCGGGAAATGGCATCTGGGTTGGTTCGAATCGCGCTGGAATGTGAGAGGAAAGCAGAGAGGAAGAAGAATTGTAAGTTAGTAGAGGAGGCGCTATGGAGAACGTATTGTAATGGGAAGAAATGTGGGTATGCGAGTAGAAGGGAGTGTGGGACGGAGGAGCAGAGGATTCTGAAGGCGGTGGAGCCGATCACGATGGGGGCGGGGGTATTGCCGGCGGCGGAGGGAAGTGGAAATGGGTCGGAGGGGGAATTGATGTACATGAGGGCCAGGTTTGAGCGGGTGATCGGGTCGAAGGATTCGGAAGCTTTTTACATGATGAGCCCTGATTGTAATGGAGGGCCTGAACTTAGTATTTACTTGCTTAGGATTTGAAGTTTGATCGATCCTTTGTTTTTTTGTTCTTGAGATGCCTGAATTTCTGGGAATCGTGCTTCTGGGGAATCAATGCATTGATGTAACAAATGGGGTATTGATTTCGATGTATAGCTCTTTTTCATTTTGTTCACATTGGTTGTTTGAGAATCAAAAATATTTCTAATTTCAATCCATTATACATGAGCCTTGTTCCGATGTTGATCAATCTATCATACACCGTTTTGTCATTGTCTTTTCGCCCCTTCTCGGTACTTTTATAAATGGTTTTTTCGAACATTTTCTAGGATCAGAAGGAACAACTATAATCAGTGTGTTTCATTCTCTTCATTCTTATCTTGAAGTTAGTGCTTTCCATCTAAGAATTGCTCCATGGATTTCATTCTTATTCTAATGGTTGATATCTCAAGTTGTTATTGTGAGATCCTACGTAGTTTGGAGAGGGGAACAAAGTATTCCTTATAAAGGTATGGAAACCTCTCTCTCTATCATACACGGTTTTAAAAACATGAGGTTCATGCAATATGTAACGGGTCAAAATGGATAATATCAGTTAGTAATGGACTTGAGTCAAATGGTATCAAAACTAGACACCAATTGGTATGTCAGTGAGGATACTAAGTGAGGTGGATCGTGAGATCCTACTTCGGTGGGTTCAAGTGAACAATATGTTAATTAACAATAATGACAGAAGAGGAGAGTGTTGGGGAGGACATTGGCACAATGATAAGGGAAAAAAACACAATGAATTGGGAGGTGGGCATGTCTTCCAATTTTGATGAGTATCTCCTTAGCTCTTCTTTTATCCTCTAATTTTGGTAGCACTCACACACTCGCTCACTCGTGGCCCCTCGCCGTTAAAACTTACCTTTATCACACCCATCTTTCAACTTTGGGACCCAAATCCAATCATGCTTTTCCAACCCAACCAATAAAAGAATCTTACTCGTCGTCGCACCTTTATGTAATTTCACATTCGACCTTTACTCAATCTACATTGATACTTAAATCGATGTTCGGATCTGAGATACACACACCCAAGTGCTCTATCATATTCCTGTACTTGACATGACACTGAACGTTCTCAAGCATCGACCCCTTTGTCAAGTAGAGTTTCTCAAACTCTACCTTCTTTTCTCTTTGCCTTCATTTACATCGGAAAACGACTCGTAAGTTTGATTATGGTCATCCCTCGTCATCAATAGTAATAGCCACCTCAGTACGTTTTTACTACTTCTCGAGCTCTAAGCTAGACATACCTACCTCGATTATCCTTCACAATGGGATTAAAAGTAACTTTAGAAAATAAGAAAATAATATTTTTTTTTTCAACCGTTTGAAAATTGGGGACGAAATGCAACAAAGTCAAAGTAATAATTTTGGTATTTGTTAGTATTTTATTTATTGTTAATTTAATACAAATATATTTTTTTGAAAATAATTTAATATGGATAATTGGAGTTACTTTATTTAGTTAATAAAAATATATAAAAAATAATTTAATAGTCCATTAAACATATAAAATATATATATATATATATAATTTTTAAATATACTAATAAATTGCCTCCATTAAACAGCATTTAAAATCTAATTAGTGTGACGGTAGCAATAAAATCAACTAGTTGCTTAAAATAATTTGAGAAAAGAAAATAATTCATATTCCATGTCATATTTTTAAATTATTAAAATTTGAGATATTAAATTATAAAATCAATTAAAATTCAGCGGGAAAAAGAAAAGGAAAAAATACATTAAATCCGTGTGAGTGAAAGAAGGTAACGAAACATTTCTTATAAAGGCGTAGTTTTAAAACCATGAGACTAACAACAACACGTAACAGGCCAAACCGGACAACTTTTGCTAACACTGGGTTTGGGCTGTTACAAATTGTATCCCGATACGGACACTGTGCTAAACGAGGACGTTGGGTCAAAGGGAGTGGATTGTTAGATTCTATGTCGGTTGGAGAGGGAAACAAAACATTCTTTATTAAAGGTGTGGAAAGTTCTTAGTCTCGAGCCTTAGAGATCCCTCGAATAATAGCTAGGACGTGGC